CTCCCCTCAGACATCCGTACCTCTTGGGGGCCTTCCCCCGACCGGGGCTCTGCTGGTGACACAAGATGGCGGCAGGAGGGTTGGTGGGCGTGAGGCGTTCGCCCCGGTTAGCAGCTTTGAGGAAAGACTCGCAGCCATGCGCGTCTGTGTTGAGCCGTTGCAGGAGCCGAGCCGTGCCTTTCTTCCCTTGCTGTCATGGCAAGGCTCAGCAGCAGCTTGTCAGCCCGGGCTCCGGCCTGTGCTGCCATACAGGAGAGTCCCCAGCCCAGCAAGGCACGTGTTCTTGGGCAGCTGTGACTGTTCATTCACTTAAACTTTGTTTAAGCTCTAAAGAAGGTGATTCTGTTAATGTGATTGTGCTTCTGAAACAGGGAATGGGACTTGGCTGGAGATGTCGCAGAATCTGCCACTTGGCCTTTAAACAGAGGCTCTTTGGATCATGCTGTTCCCCTCGTCTTGTATTATTTCAATTGTGGAAGCTGTGACAGTAATTTCCCCTCCTAATATAAAAACAAGCTTTTGTACAACCTTATCATCCTTTGTCCAACCCAAAGAGAAGATAATGGAAAGAGGCATGAGGTTTAAGTCCTGTTTGAGTTCCATGACTGGTAGGAAATGTGTTCTCATTGTCTCCAGAGTCCTTTGCCAAGGAATAAAAGTGCCACCCTTGTATATCCCTTCACTGCTCTTTGCTCTCGGCCCTGCATTAGCTGGCATTGAGCAGGGTTGGGAGTTCTTACCTTGTCTGCGCACAATGTAGTCTTGGCCGGTATCTGGGTGTGTAAGTGCTGGCATGTTGCCTCAGTTGCATGTTCTAGAGGTACAAGAAATTTGTTCTTTGAGGTGGCAGGGGGTATTTTGGATTCAGCTGGTAGCTTTCCCATCGTTTGCTTGCTACCATATGTGGGATTTTCACCTACCCTTTTTTAGACATGAATTATTATCAAGGCCATAACATCCTTCCTTTTAAATGGTAGTTCCCCAGAAACAAACGGGAACATGTGGTTTCAGATACTCTGCTGTGTATCGTAGCAGACTCACAGTGACAAGTCATTATGACAAGCCAGCCCTTAGCAACTGTTCTGGTGTCCTGTTGCTTTAATTTATATCCAAGTGAAAGAGACAGAGATGGAGTTATAAGTATAACTTAACTATTTTAATAAATCTTATACAGTGCATGGTTATATCATTTTTTTCCTTTGTTCAATTACATTAATGTACAGTACATTATAGCATTATCTGCAGGCAGCACAAATAGGTGCACAGCTGAGTCATATGGAAACTTTAAAAAGTGACTCCTGCAATAAGGTTTACTGATATATTTATTTTAGGAAATGCTCCTATGGCTCCTGGCTTTACAGAACTGTCATGTACACTTCCATTATAATCCCAAGTAGCTATAATTCTGTGTGGTTTGTTTTCCTTTATACCTAAAGACAAGAACAGTGATGTATTTGCTCACTCACCCTCTTTTTTTTTTTTTTTTTTTTTTTTTTTTCCCATTTTAGAAATGGTTTAGCCTCCTGTGCTTGCAACACCAATGGTTTGCCAGTGTTCACACCTGCTTCCCATCTCCACCCTAATCCAGAGCCAGGGCTTCTCAGGAGGATTGTCCTCTTCATCCCTCCCTGACAAGGTGAGTGCCCATTGCAAATTCCAGCTGCTGTGGCCAGCCGGCAGGGTTGTGACTAAAAACATAATCCTCCTCCATAAGTTCCCTGCCTGCACCCTAATTCTTCCGGTGCTAACAATATCCTATTTCAAGATTAAGAAAATGTATCATCCATTAGAAACATTTTTGGAAGAACAAAGCCAGAATTGAGAGGTGCATCAGTATTCTCAGATGTAGACACGTGTTCCCCAGCCACTGCTTCACAGCTGTACAGCTTTTTCCCTTACGTGTGCAAGGCCAGGCCCAAAGTGTGCAAAGGCTCAGGCCCATGTTTAACCTCTAAAGGAGGTGGAACCATTCACAGCATGAAAGGAAAGCACATGTGTCAGTCTTTGTGGGGTCTGGGCCTGAATTCCCATCCAGCCGAAGTTAAGGTGTGTGATGAGAGAGAAAGGAAGCGTCTTCCCGCGCTGTGAGCAGTTCCTGCAGATGTCTTTGCTTTACTGCATTCCTGGCAAGTTTGTCTGTTAGTAAAATATAAACGCAGCGTGTGCCAAACTTGCTGTGGACAGGAAATCTGCTATATGCTTGCTTGAGCTTTTAAAACTTTGAGTAAAGTATTGATGCATAATCACTTCATTATGTCTCTAGGGAAAGTGATTTTTTCCTCATCCCTCTTTATAGATCGTAAGAATTAGGAGGTGTTTCACTAGGTAGATATATACATATGCACATAACGGTGTTAAGATAAACAGGAATTGAGGAACAACAGCCTCTACTAAGTTAGCTTTTTTTTTCTTGTGGCCATTTATTTTGTATTAAACCAGCCTTTCCAAGTGTGCTTTTGTTTCTTAGATATTTCAGAAGCATTTCAGATTTCTCTTTGCAATGAAAACGTGACTGTTGAACACCTTGGGAAGGGCTTTGGGTGTGACTGGGTTGGGAGCAAACGGTAGGGGCTTATCGTCTCCTTGATTGAGGCCTGGCTCTGGCAACGCTGCAGCTTTCCGATGCAGGATGAGTGCCGAGGTGAAGCGCTGCGCAGCTGCCCAGAGCCCCAGCCTCTGCGTAAGCAGGGATGATCAGGCTGAGCTTTCAATTGCGTCAGTTGTCACTTGGATCCTGCTGGTTGTTATGCAATGAAAGCCCGTTGCCACTGGTCAGACAGCACTAACTGGTACTAGTTAAGGAAGCAGCCAGTCTTAGGTGATGTGTGTTGTGATGCTAGCCTTGTCCAAAGAGGGGGCATGGGGGGACAGAAGAGGGGCAGTGAATTGTCACAGGGCCTCTGCTAGGGGCCTGAGAAGGAAATGAAAAGCGGGGGAAAATACTTCTTCAGTGGTGCAGACTCTAAATGTTTGTGCTGGCTTGTTCTGTGCTGTGTGCCAAGCCCTCTCTTCCCAAGCCACACTGGCAAAGGGGTTGGGAGCAGGTACAGCCCTTTGAGAAAAGCTTCATGGGGTCTTTTTTGCTTGAATCCAGCCATTGCCATACATTCAGACACGTGTGAATTCAGATCTGCTCTGACTGCATGCACATAAAATTTCAGTATAAAATATATAGTTATAAAAAAAAATACTTCATGCAATATTAAAACACCTTCCCCAATGGGACATGATCATATTGTCTACCCTTATCAACAGTGTTCAAGAAATTGTCACTTTGATGGCAATTACACCACAAAGCGTGGAGCACTGCTGTCACTGGGCTGGGCTGGGGATCATTGCTTTCATTCCCTTTTTCTGCACTACTATGACTAATAGGTGAAATAAAGCAGACAGATTTTAATTAGCAGAATCAATCCTTTCCTGGCGACGCTTCATGATTTCTTGGAGCTCTGACTCCCCTCTGCTTTTCTAGAGTGGAAACAAAAGAAGAGGTTTGAATTTTAAGTTCAAGCTGCAGTTAAATTACAGTATTTAACTGATGCTGTAAGAGTAGAGCTAGTTTCAAAGGGACGAGTGATGCTGGTAAGAAGGCAGATTCATTAGTGGAGACAGGGTGATCTGCCTTACAGATTTGGGGCCTTTTCCTTAAAAGGCTTCTCAGCATTTTTAGGTGATGTGGTTTTTGGGGGTTCTTTTTTTTTTAATTTGTTTCTTAAAATGTCTGTTGAATGGGGTATCTGATGCTGCTGGTCCAGGAGCCCATTCACGTTAGGAGTTGTCCACAAAGCTGCTTACCTCCAGTTGGTTTTTCTCCACTGTGATTTTACTGTATACTCTGTTTCCCTCATCACCACACACTTTCTTCAGCTCCTCTCTGTTGAGGGAGAAGAGCTGAGCTCCAGTAAGGATGCCAAGGTGTTCCACTGTCCTGGGAAGACACAAAGCGAGGAGATGATAATTGTTTACTATATGTGGCCTCTTGCCAAAAGTGAGGAATCAGAGATAAAAGGAGTAGGAGCAGCAGAGTGCAGCTCCTGCACCAGGGCTGTGCGAAGGTGACAGCTCCCGGGTAACCCAAGCTCTTGGTGGGGATGACAGCAGGAGCGGGTGAAGCCAGCATCAGCCGCTGTGTACCCAGCCCCGTGGGTACTGCAGTGATTTCACTCCAGTTGCATCTCATTTGGTGAGCAATCCTGAAGCTCCTCTTAGCTCACTGTGCAGAGTTGTAACTCGTAACCCTTGACCATGTGTAGCTTTTTGATCCTTCCCTGCTGGCTGGGAAGATTTGCCAGTCCCAGCTGAGGGTTTGGTTCTTCCTCAGAGATGCTTTAGGACAGCTTCCCCAGAGGCGGGCTGTCACCTGGAATTTGCATTTCAGGCCAAGGGTGTAGTTAGTTAATTAGTTATTTTCCTCTAAGTCCAGCACACTGAACTGGTGAACTGGGGCCAGACAAGCCCCAGCAATAGGACGCGGTGCAGCATTTGGCTGTGAGCTGTGTGGATTAACAAGACTATTCCTTTATTTGCACCTACTCATTAGGTCTTTCGCTGCACTGTAAGACAAGGTTCATTGGATCGGGTATAAGAAAGGGAGTAGGTTTGGGCTCTGAATATGCTGGTTATGTAGCCTGGATTTAATATGGTTGAAATAAAATTTGCAACACAGGCTCTGTAAGTAAATACAAGTGATTTATAATCTGGTTAAAATGTTGCAAGCTGCCTCCCCCACTCCTTTTTAAATGAAGGACCAGAATTTCATCTGGTATTAAAGCAAATCTTACTCTTTGCTGAATGACTTTGCCTCCAGCCAAGCTTTGACTTCTTCAGTGCTGGATTCGAAGGTGAGGGGTACAAAAACTTGCTGAGGCTTTTCCACTTTGAAATTCCTCTGGGGAGGCTGAATTTTATTATTTGTGATCTTCTTTAGCAGCTCATCATTCAGCTCATCCATTTGATGAATAAGTTCTGGGGAAACAAGGCACAAGGTAGAGAGAAGGGAATGAAATCAAGTCTTCCATCACAAATCCTATTAATGTGTTTGTGGGGAAATTGTAAGGAAGGTTAGAATGTGGCTCAGCATTTTTATTAACTCTGTAAATACACCAAAGGAAAGTGCTTACTTTTGTATTTTAGTTCTAAAGAACAAGCTTAAGTGCTTTGTTAGAGCAATAGGTTGAGAAATAACATTTTGACCTTCAAACTTCATCAGGAACAAATGTATGAAGGAGACCACCCCCATGCTGGAGGCTGGCAGGCTGCTGGAGCAGGCTGAGGGAATCACAGAATCACAGAATCACAGAATGTTAGAGATTGGAAGGGACCTCGAAAGATCATCTAGTCCAATCCCCCTGCCGGAGCAGGACACCTAGATCCCCCCCTTTCCTCCCAAGCCAACACTCTTAACTTCCTTCAGCTTTTTGAAACCTCACAGCTTTTGAAATCTCTGGTTCTGATGTTGACCAGCGTTGATATAGGTGTATAATTTCTAAAGAGAAGTCTGTTCTTTGTCATGGTGTGTGCCAGCAGACTCTGAGCTGTCTCATGCAATAGGGATATATTGCCTGGTCCGTGTTTAACTGAGTGGAGATTGGTCTGGTCTGAAAAAGGAGAGCTCACACCTGGAGAGGCACTTGCTTTTAGCCAGCAGGAGCAAAACTACCCATCAATCTGCCTGGAAAATGCTTGTTCAGAAACACTTATTGGGGGGAAAAGTGTGTCATAGTTGATGAAATAATAGAACATTTTGATAAGATCACTGGTGTCTGCAGCAGGTGCTGGTAAGGACCTATATTTTGCCTATTTTTTATATAAATTTATATTGGGATCAGTCTTGTTTCTTGTGTTGTTAACCTATCCTGATCATCACACACACCTCTTTCCAAGGACATTAAACCCTGCAACACTGACTAGCAGAGGTTTCCTCAAGGGTGTAAAACCTGACCCAGCAGTGTCTTTGCTTCCACCGGTGCTGTCGAGTGGTGGCAAGGGGCAGGGTCCCTTTTCCCTGATGTCTGGTGTTGCTGTTGTGTTTTTGCTTTAGTTTGTCATCTTCCTGTTTTTGAGTTACTTAGTTCCCTTTGAGCTATTGAAATAAGGAGATTGCCCTGCAGCCTTAGCAGCAGGGAGGGGAAAAAACCTAGACCCCACGAGACAGCAGAGGTCAGGCAGACCTGACTGTGTTTCTGAGAACAAGGTTCCCATTTTTCTGTGCCCCTGTGTTGCCATTATTTTCTTCCCATTGCCTCTTTGCTGTTGCCTGATGTGGAAGGCCAGTTCTGTGAGTACCTACAATCAGAGTCTCGGTTTTGAGCTGTAGCCCTGCTCCCTCCACTTTTCAGTCCTCACTGCTACTTCTTGTGAGTAATTGATCCCAGTCCTCAGAGCTCCAGCTTTTGCTGTGCAGCTGAATACCAGTGGCAGGAAGCATGAACTGGGAGTGAGCGGCACACTCATAAAACTCTAGTGACACATCATCCAGTATCACTTTTTCCATGAAACTCCTGAAGAATGTGGAGAACAGTGGTATTAATAGATACATGTCCGTGGTGTTTGTATTATGGGGCTTTCCATCATTCCAAAAGGGCTCCTGCTTCCAGGAGTCCCCGGTAGCTGACCAGGGGATGAACCCTGGTTTTGGCCTTTGGGAGCTTGCTACAGGTGTGTGCTGGGTGCGATACGGGAGTGAGGTGAGCGGGGCTCCTGGTCTTTCTCATGTTCTGTGACCCCACGTGGCACACGCAGGGTGAGGGAGCAATGTGAGCCGCATGTTTGGCAGATCTGCTGGCTGCGGTTTCTCTGAAACCGCTTGAAGGAACAGGCCGGGCGGGCACTGCATGTGTGCCAGGAGCAAGAGCAAAGGCAACGAGAGAAAGGGATTGCCCTGAATGTGGGTGGTTGGAGGGGAAAGGAAACTCTCCTTGGGAGGAAGGTGGTCAAGCTGGAAGGAGGGTCAGGGTGATCACCTTCTTGCCCTCCGTGTACTGGGCTGCCTGAGAGCCTGTGACCTGAGTCAGTGAGCTCCTCAGGGCTGCTGTGTTGGCTGCGGGTACTACCTGGAATCTCCTCTGCACAGCTCCTCCAAAACCACTGCTGCTCTATGGCTTATCGCTGAAAGGTGCAGCTGCTCCCTGTGCAGAGCCATATGAGAGGGAACACACACTCGAGTAGGTCTGGTTACATGCACACAGCAGCCAAAAATAAGACACAGAGCATTGTGGTGAAAGTAAAGAAAGCAAGCAAGCCACCGGCACAGAGGGCAAGCAAAAGCACATGCTCACAGAAACTTTTCAATTAAATCCTGCGATGCAGAGCCATGGTGCCATGCTCTCTGGCTGCCTGAGGCTGCTACGTGTGGTATAAAAGTGCCCTGACGCTGGGAGCGCGGCTTGGGACACATACGTTCTTTGGCGTCCTGGGGAGAGTTGCGCGATAACATTTCACTTCCCCATTTATCCCCAGCGTAGCTGGCAGGTAGCTTGTGACTGGGGCTGGAGGGTCCATATCCCCTGGGGCTGAGATCTCCTTTGTACCTCTGGTTCTAGGTGATAAGAAAGAAAAAAAATAAATGTAAGAATTTTTTTGCTGTTCTTCATTTTCTTAAACTTTTTGCCTCCTGCCCACGATAGCAAATGGAGGGACAAATTGCCCTGTCCTGATCTGGGGCCGCTCAGCTGAGGCTGATGAGACCTCAGGTGCAGCTGCATGGAAGAAGTTAATTTCTGGGGTTTCATGGGAATGAACAGAACCCAAAGGCCAAAGACTGTGTGAAGGCATTTACACCCTTGGAGAACACGTCACACTTGTCACACAGTCCTCTTCTATGCTTGGTTACTGCTGCTGTAGATGACCGCTCTCCCGTGCATGACTTGGACCTCTTGCTATGCAGAAATTACTGCTCAGAGGGCTTCCTTGGAGATGGAGAGCCAGGGAAGCAAAAGGGTTTTTATATGAAAAGAAAACAAACAGAAATCCTATTTGAAGCTAAAGCATCACTGCTCTAGTAACTGGATGTTGAGTGGGAGCACTGCCAAGTGCCTGGAGCAGTCTGGAAAGAGTCTTTTGACATTTTCTTGATTAAACTAACAGGGCTTCTGTCCAGAGGCCTGCTGGGGCACTTTATGCTTTGCCCAAGCTGTGACATACCAAACCAGGAAGGCGATTCCATGCTTCCGTAGGGCATTTAGAGCTCTCCAGCTCCACATTCCAGCATCTCGCCAGTCTCCACCTTTGCAATGCAAGGTACGTGAGAGCAATACTCACTCACTGCTCACTTAGATGGTATTTCCATCTGCCTCCGCTCCTGCTGCTGAACTGAACTGCATGAGGGAACTGTCTGTCTTTTACATAACCCCCAACAAAAACCTCAGCATTTTGGTGGCAAAATTTGCTTTTACATTTGCATTAGCTCTTTCATCGTCTCCACAGCCCAGCCCTGAGAACAGCAGGGTTTCACAACAGGGGAGGTGGCAAACCATAGGCTGAGAAGTACGTGGGTTTGGCGGGGAAGGCACTGGCAAAAGGTGGAACTTTTTCAAGCTACTGTAGCCAGCAGCTGTTGGGTGACACCTCAACGTGAGAGCTTTTCTGTTGGGGTGACAAGTCATCGAGCTGGGGTCTCGCTTCATAGCAGGCTGCTGCCTGTCACACAGGACTCAGCCTTTGCCTGTCCTGGAACCCTGCTGGCAGCAGGCAGTGCGCTTGGCATCTTGGAGCAGGAGGAGAGCAGGAGGCTGCTGCACGGATGGGAAGGACAGGCCTTGTTTGGGGAGGGGGAAGGTAAACGGTGGCAAAATGTGAGAGTTTTATCATTGGAGACTTGTGAATTTCCAGGATCCTGGTTTGTCTGCTTGGGAGGGTTTATGTCAGCTTGTGCACAGCATCCTAAGAAACCCAGGGAGGTCTAATTACAAGATCATCCTCAGAGGCTGGTTATGCCCTGCAGCTGGCCAGCAGGTAAATGTCATCTGACTACAGACCTGTTCGAGCTCTTCCAGTTTCACCACATCCAGGATGTTATAAGGGACGTAACCAGCCTGCCCGCTCCGGTTGAGCAATTTCCACCACTGCTTATTATCTTCCAACACCTGAGAGACAGAAAAAAATAAATTTGCTAGTGAGAACATCAGATTTCTGGCATACATAAATGGCATATAGCAGAAATAAACCATGTGAAGTTGTCAGAATAATATCACTGAGGTCAGGAGCTGGCAAACAGACCTATTGCACTAACTTGCAACTCAGGACTGAAACCTTTCCTGAAAAGCACCAGAACGTATCCTAGTGATGAACAGGAGAGCATCTCTGGGGGAAACAGACCTGGGGTGCTCAAGAACTCATAGTTTCTCATTTATCTGCCTGTTTCTCCATTATTTTTTTGTCAGTGACTATGTTGTCTTTTTGCATTAAAAAAAAATAAATTGAGTGACTCCTGCCAAAAATGTTGGAGTGTTATCATAGAACTTGATCACATGTTGCATCATAACACATAACATAATCGCATTGTAACCCTGCTGTGGCAAGGAGATTGCCTGTTGCTGAGATACTTCCTATTGCACCTGCCCCTGCTCCTTTCTGCAGGCTTGTTTTTACCCAGAACTGTCATTTTTCATTTAGTTTTTTAAAAAGTAATCTTCCCAGAATGGATGAGCTTTCCTGGCAAGACTTACACACGTTTCTCATTCTAGCTACATTTTTGAACAAAAGTCTTTTTCTCGGGTCACAGATCTGTTACAGTTAGTGTGTTGACCAAACCATGTCTTATGTTCTCCAGCTGCCAACCGTGTTGTGTTAAGAGAAAGGTAATGAGAAAGGATGTTTTCAGAGAAAATATTTCCTTTGCGGGGGGAGTCGTAATAATGAACATATGCCCAGCAAGTGGGTGAGCAGTGTAGTACAGTGAGTTGTTTTCCTTCCTCCTCATTGCTAATTAAGGTGTGACTGATGAGTTTCAGCTGAGCAAATGACTCAATGCATACAGGCAGCCTGCTCCAGCTCAGATGTAAAGCTTTAGATTTGAGCAAAGCTTCTTGCTACTGCTCAGAAAACATCATGAGCTGGCGCTTGCCAGTATCCCGCGGTCTCTCTCCTGTTCTGGGAAGGGGAGGAGGGCACACCTTTTCCCCAGCATGTTCACATACCTCCAGGATTTCATCCTTAAGCACTGAGAGTTCATTGGCATTTCGCGCGGTGAAATCGTAGCGGATTTTGGCATATCTCTTCGGTGGAGCCATTCCCTGTGCCTCAAAATTCCTGCATGAGAAAAAGATTGGAGTTTTAATGGAATCCCATCTAATAACTGGGGCAATACAGGTTCACTGGTGAAAGAGGAGGGGGGAAGGCTGTGTGCCAGTGCAGGCAGAGAGGCAATTGTGTCTGTGTTAGGAGGGCAGTGCCTCTTTACTACTCTATTTTGAGGAAGATTTTCACACTCTGTGTTTAGGAAAAAAGAACAGAAAAGAAAAAAAGCTGTAGGGCTGTTTGGTTAGTGGCCTTACTGGGGGACTGGGAGGCTGGTGCTCTCGGGGTGGAAGGAAAGACTTCTTCCCCTGTCAGGTGCTGCTTTGCTGCAGCAAGGGCTGGGGAGACTGACAAAGCTCAAGCAAAATGCTCTGATGGCACCTCCGCTGAAAAATAAGTGTGAAACCCTCATATCCTGAGAAGTGGAAACAGCTGCCTCGTATGGCAGAGCAGGGGAGAGGCAGGCACCTGCGCTGGGGAAGGGGCACTGAAAATGGGTGTAGGTCAAACTAACTGGAAATCTGTTGTTTTTTTATCAGGTGATGAATGCTGAGCTACCGAAACAGAATTCTGCAGGTTCCCAGGAAAAGTGAGTTTGAGTGTTTCTATTCTAAGATACATTTTTTGGGGAAATGAATGTGTTTATTTTGATTGGGAATTTCTGACAGAAGAATATATGGCTTTCAGTGTTGAACTGACTTTTCATTTGGAGAGAGAGACAAAATAAGCACAGTAGATTGTAAAAAAACGGTGGAAAAAGTGCAATGAAAGATTTCCTTTGACTCAAACTGAAATGTTTTATTTTTTCATAGTTTTTTTTTTTTTTTTGCCTGACTTAGGAAAATTTTGCAGATTTCATCTTTTTCTCCTCTAGTTAGGATGGATGTAGTGTTATTTGTTAATTCCAAAAATGTTTGTGGTATGGAAAAACTGTCTTGCCTTGTTGTGTATGGGCAGGTGGAAACTGCTTTAATGCATCTACGGATCTTTCTGCTTCTAACTCGCAACCTGCGTAGCTGCCTGGTGCAGGAGGCTCCCGGGTGCCCCAGTCACAGTGGGTATCCCAGCAGGGGGTTGGGTTCTCTGTTCTGTAACTCAGTGGAACCAGTGCTTCCAGCACTGCGAGCAACTCTGGGGTTTAGCCTGATGTTTTTCCATTGCCAAGTTCTTGGGTTTGATTGGAAACTCTGCAGATTGCCTCTGAGGCATCTGTAAAACCTGACTTTGAAAAGCAAGTCCGTTATGCTTAGTTTCATTTAATTTTACTATTTTCCTTAGATAACTTTTGGTGGCCTGAAAAAGATGGAAACCACTGGTTCAGTGGTTTGATATTGTGCCTATAGCTGTAGCGTTGTCTCTCTTGATTTGGGACAACTCTTGGTCTGCTTACAGCTGTGTGCAATGTAAAGTTGTAAATCTGCAGTGGGGGAGAGCTTGGAGCTGACTCTGGGACAGATTGAATCCACCAGTAAAGCAAGGGAGCGGTGGCCTTGCCCAGCGCTGCCCTGAAGGCAGGGAGGGGGAGGAAAGCCTAAGTGAGGTAGAAATTACTTATTTTGTAGCATTCCAGAAGGTAAATGAGTCATGAGGAAAGAAGTGACACTGGAGGAGTTTGAGGCTAATGTGTAATTCGCAGGCACTCAGGTTTTACACAAGCGACCTTCGGTGGTTATTTCTTGGGGCTTTCATAACGCTTCTCTGCAGCCAAAAGCCCCGGTGTAAATAATGATACCGATGCGTTGGTATTGTTGTTAATATAGGGCCTCTTGGTTAGAAAATTAGTTCAAACTACCCTGAAAAAAGCATGAGTAGAGGAGGAAATATGTCTGTGCTAGGATTGTGATCTTGGCAAACATGGGCAGACTTGGCTGAGGTCTGCTCTGGACTGAAGGAGGTGTCTAAGCTCATTCTCAATTTTAGCATCTGCTTCAGTGCCATTAACTTTGATTTTTTTTTGTTTGTTTGTTTTCTTAAATGTTATCCATATCGAAAACTTGCTGTTGACAGTCTGAAAAGTAGGTTAAAAGGTATGACACCTATCCCAGGAGAAAAGAGACCCTCATCTCCTCTTCCGTGAGCCCGCACGGAATCTTTAAAGATTTAGAGTTAATAACTTCGCGTCAAATCACTGCCAAGTGGAGTATGGCAGAGAATTCATTTGCAAGTTTGTTGAAACTCGGAGGTCTCAGAAAGATGTCACAGGTGTAAGCTCATGTAAACAAGCAAGCAGGTGAAAAGCCTCTAAACTTTGAACCAAAAGTACTTACATAAAGATTTTATACCCCTGAGTAACTGGTGACAGAAAACTAGCAGCGGGGCAGAGCGTGTGGTTAAATTGTGAAAGAGCCATCTTTCCCTTGGCAAAGGGCCTAAGGCAGAAGGATAGCCCAGGTGGTTCTGGGTTGGGAACTGAACTTTCCAAAACTTCTGAAGAAAGGGAAGGGTTTTTTTCCCGGTTTTCTGGATTTATCTCATTAAGAAGAGTCTGAAATCAATGTCTTGTCAGTTTGCTGATGGAGAGATGGGCAAGACCAGAAACACATTCTGGTTTTATTCAGCCTCTAATAAATGTTTTTCCCTTTGGTTGTGTCTAAAAGCAAAGGGAGGAGCTGCCACCTCCAGTAAAACAAACTGGTAATTCCTCAGTTAAATGTTTTCCGTGCAGTGCTGCTAAGGTTGGGTGGCTCTTTCCCAGCACTACTGTTTTCAACAGCGGAAAGCTTGTGTGTGCTCACGCCTTAGTGCAGATTCCTTGTATGAGCAGGTTCTTCTGTGCGAGCTGTTGTGGCTTTGGGATGGATGGAGAGGCACTAACTTCTCTCAGCATATGGAGAATGAAAGTGCAGCACAGTCTTGGGCACGTGATCCTTAATATCGCCTTGGTGGGCTGATGTTATGAAACAAGACCTACTGATTGACTAATGAAGTCAGTCAATATTTTTGCCTCTTGTGGTGGAAAACATATGTAACCCATTTCCTTGTAGACCTGCTGGTGATTAAAAAGCAGACAGTGTTTACGTGAATAATCCCTCATCTGATCTTTGAGCTCTCTTCATCTGGTTAACAAGTCTGAATTAATAACGCCAGAGAGTTACCTGCCAGGATGCCAAACCATCCTGGTGCCACGATGTGCGGCAGTGGGTGTTTGTGAGGTTACTAGGAGGGAGCAGAGGTGCTGTTGTCCCCGGGGGTGTTGGTACGTTACCTATTTACATGCTGAGTTACGTTCTGTTTAAAGGCATCCACAGCTTGCGTCTGATCAGGGGTCTGGCCGCGCTTGAGCGAGGAGTTACGGTAGGGATATCCGTTGGCTGATGATAGCTGGAAGGGCAGAAATGGAGTCGGTGAAAGGGAAAAGCTGTGTCACAGAAAAGGAGGGTGATGGTGGTGGATGAATCATGGCCTGGAAGCTTGTGGTCGTAGTGAGGTGCACACCAAGGAAATGTTCTTCAGGCAAACCTGTACCCCTGGGGCTCGGCTATGGTATAGTATCCTATCTCCTGTTGATCAGGAGGTGAGGCTGGTTAATTGCTGCCCTTTCCTGGCCTTATTTTCTTTCCATATTTAACTGGAGTGACCAGATCCAACTGAGTTTTGAGCTGACTACCTTTTACACACCACAGCAAACTCCACAGATCCATCTCTCACTCTGGAAAAGGAGGAGGGAGAGGGGAAAGAATAGAGGATAATCGGGGGCACAAGACTAACCTCTTCCTGCAAGTGTCCGATGTCTATTTCCCATGGAGCTCCGCGGAAGATTTCCACAGGTGGTTCCCAGCCATTGCGGAATTTGGGGATGTAGGTGGGGATATTTGCTTCTCGGGGCCATTCAGCTCTAGGACATGAAGCAGGGAATATGCAGTGAGATTCACAAGGAACATGGCTCTGAAAGCACATCAGGGAGAAGAAGGGGTATCAGGGCATCCTTGACCCTCTGACACGGGTATGAAGCGTTCTGTCTGCCTTTCTCAAGAGCTCGGGGAACCTGGTGCGATGGCAGCTCTGTCCTCACCTGGATCTGGTCCATGTCTCTCCCAGGGAGTCCCAGAGGTTTATCTCTTTTGGTGTCAGGTGTCCCCTGAGGAAATCTGTGGCATCTTTAGAAAGAAGCGGGGTGACGACAGACCTGGCAAGCTCAGGGCCACCACAGCTACTGACAATCTGGATTAAACACAAACACACACAAAGATGAGAGATTTTGCAGGAAATGTTCAAAATATCAAACCAGCACACACACAAAGGAACAGAAATCAGAGAGAGAAAAATCAGTGGCTCTGATCCTTTGGAGTCTCTGTGCCTGCCCACTCCGAAGGAAGCCAATGGACCCTCCACAGTGAGTACCTCGAAAACCAGGCTAATTCACACTGCACTTGTGCTTCCAAAGTTCTCCTCTATCCCTTCGTATGTAAGGGTGAGGTTTCACAACGTAGATGAACTAAACCAATGGTTTGCTGCTACATAAAAGGGATGCTGTATTCCCTCAGCATCCCCTTATTATCCTGGTAGTCCTTGACTGGCAGATTTAATTCAGAAAAAGCAAATAGGCAAATGAGGCATATAGCTCCTAAGTTATCCAAGGTATAAAATGAAAGCCAGAGGGCAAGCCTTCATGGCAAGGGATGGCCTGACTCCTGCTGGCAGCAGGTAGCCCTTAGATCAGCTCAGTTGTCTCAAGAAACATCAACCTAAATCTTCAGTTCAGAGGAACACAGGAATTTTTCTATTGGAACCAAAGCAAAGTCTGATCTAAAAATGAGCCATTGTTAGAGGCAGCATATATCACAAGCTGGCAGTTTAAAAACTAGAAAATCATTTGGTATTTCTGTGTCCCTTCTGGCTTCTTTTACCAGTTGGGATTTTTGCTTCCTGTTTTCAATGCAAATATTGAGCCATGTTTGCTTGAAGGTGAGATCAGGCAGATTCCCCCTGGGGAACCCTAGCCAGCTTACACTTTTGTTCACAGTAAGACTTTGTTAATGGGGTAGAAAGATTCATATTTGCTAGGGTTTGTTCGAGCTGGAAATCAGATCAGAGGCCAGAAACACTGGTGGTGTTGCTTCTGGACTTTACTGAGAAAGCTTTAGCCAGTTGTGAGCAGTCTTCCGACTCTTCTGCATCATGTAGCTGCCTGTAAGTGCAAAAGCGACATTGAAATGAAAAGGAGTTCACAGTGAAACCTGTGAGTCGGGTTTACCAGTTCCAGCGGCCCAAATAGGAAATGCACCAACTCTGAAGCGCTGGGGTTCTGGATGTGCTTTCTCAGTTTGGCCTGAAAAAGAGAAAGGAAACCCAGCTTAATCCAGACCTGATTTTGCCTTCTCTTTTATGTCCTGTGGAGGGATTGTTGCTGACTGGTGTTTGCTACAGTTAGTAACGCAGCCAGGAAAGTGAGGAAACTTTCCACAGTGCCCTTGAAATTGGGCAAGAACAGTGACTGGGGAGTAGGAATCGATCCGTTTCAGATCATTACTATTTTGTGTCCATTTCTAAGGGTGTTGAATTTCAAGAGGGGTAGAGTACCTATTCTGTTAAAACCAGTTCTGGTGAAGCTATTTTGAGCAGAAGCAGAAAACTTTGGCTTATTTTGGGTCTTACGAAGGGCCAGGTCTATTGCTTCTGACTCTGGCAAAGTTGAAAATTCTGCGAGTTCCCATGGAACAAGTGTTTTCCAGGATCCCTTGGCAAATTGCTGACGAGGAGAAATCTCCACTGAGGTCTTGCCTGCAGCACCTAGCACTGCCCTGGCCCCTGAAACGCTTGGTGTTGGGAGTGGGCTGTGGTGGGATGGAGGAGCAAACACTGAGGATTACTTTATTGTAATAATTGCATTTCATTCACAGCAATCGGCTAAACTGTGGTGCAGCAGCGGGCAGCAAGGTTTGGGGCCTGAGTGCAGGGAGGGCTTGGGCACGTGAATGAATTTCCTACATGTTAGCTCCCAGGCTGCTGAGAGGGGAGCAGCAGCGGTGCTGAGGTTGGGGTGTGCCAGAGCATTTGCACAGATCCACAGATCCCCAGCCCATAGCGGGCGCTTGCGGCTGCGCTGCACACTTGGCAGCATCCAGGGTAGGACAGACCTCTGCTGTGAGTAAGGGTTTGGCTGACCACACTGACTCTGCTGTATTTATCTCGGCTGTGTCAGCGGTCAGAAAGGGCTGGGATGCCAGCAGCCTGGCTGGGATTTCTTTACGCTTGGGGAATCCTTAGCTGATGCTTCAGGGAAGCCAGCATCCTGCTGTGGGTGTGTGGCATAGCCTTAGCGGGCTATTGCTGGCCAGATCTGCCACCTCCAGGACTCGGTTCTGGTCCTGAGGAGGCACAAATTTCTGCATATTTGCTTCCAAAAGAAAAGGCTGGAGCTTGGTGTCCTGCGTTAAGGTTGTTTACAATCTCGGTGGTTTCTGTACTGGTAACTTCTGCGGAAGGATCTTGTTAGACTGTGTTCACTGGGCAAGTTTGGTCAGAACTGATAGAATTTCCTTCTGGCTCGTTACCCTCCTGGTCTTGCATGCTTCGCTAGGCGGAGCTGACCGCACTGGGAACATATTCATGCTTCTGCTTTTCATCCCCTTTATTTAAATTTAAGAACGATTTAAAGTAGATAAGACTTTTTTCCCTTTTTTTTTTTAATATTTGCAGTCCTCCATTTCATGCTTTGTAAGAATAACAAGTACTACAGCTCTCACGAAACTACTCAGACTTCTAAAGGCCACAAGCAGAAGTGGATATCTAGAGTGGGGATCTCTGTACAAGCCTTTGCACAGCTATCAGCAAGGTGGGCATGGCAGTTCTTGGCTCTCTAAGCTCACAGCTTCTCAAATGCTTTACATCAGAACTGTGAGGAGAGCTCCAGGCATTGCAAGGCCCTTGGCTGCTCAGTCCCACCCTGGACTTTGCACTTCTAGTTTCAGGTTAACAACTCATCCCAAAAAACCTGCACGAGCCTGACACAATATTTGTTCCAGATTCTGAAGAATTGGGAATTCCCACTTTTGTCCCTTCATAGTGTTTTTGGTTCAAATTTTACTTTAAATGCTTACTGCTGTGCTATATGGGAAAAAGCCCCATCACTGCGTGGGATGAAAACACCCTCTGTGTCTTACCAAGAGGTTAAAAGCCAGTTTGGTTTTCTGGAAGCAGTCGATGAACTCAGCCTCACTTGGGGGTCTTGCTCGAAGAGTCAGCATACCCTCTTTTATGAGAAGGTGGAGAGAAAAACACTGTAATCAGACAACCCTTTTCAGGACAGTTTCATCTTGCTGGCATGCAGAAGACACAGCAGAAAGGGTGCTGAAACTACAACTACTGAAAATCAAGGGTTTTAGAAAACCAAGTCTTCCTCTGTGTTGGAGGCTTCACTAGGCTCAGTGTGCTCCACAGGAGGTCCCCACAGACCAGTGGTACCTTCCAAACTGGTGTAGCGGCTGTTGGGCCCGTAGCCATGCTGCTGCATCAACCTGGCCTCGCTGGGGTGTCAGCTGAGGTCTCCTCCCAACCTGCACCTGTGCCCCTGTGTTCCCCGTTTGTTCCAGCTGTTGCACTGTACCTGCTGGCCCTTTCTTCTTGTTCTTCTTCCCTTTCTTCCTTTGGTTGAGCTGTTTGAATGCCTCTGCAGCCTTCTGAAGCCTGGCAACAAACACTTCAATGTCATCCAGAGTGCAGTTCAGGATTTGCTGTGAGGACAGAAATGCAACAAACCGAGGTGAAAGAGAGTCCAACCTGCACGCAGCTGGGCAGCCCGAATCCCAGACCATGCCGCTCTGTGCCTGCTTCATTCCTGGAAGAATGCACAGGAATGGGGAGTCCAGGCGTGAAATGAATCTGAATTCATCACTTTGCAAACAAACACAGAGCTGTGCCTGGTTGTGTGTGGTACTTGTCAACGTGACAAGGGACCCCTGCTGATGGACATCTGGAAAATAACCCCAAGAGAGGACTGTGGGCTGGGGAGGGACAGACCTGAAGCCAGCAGAGCTACCTCAGGTCAGAGGAGATTGTAACTGACCCAGTGATGGAGCTTTGCTTTTGTTCACTTTATATTTATGAACTGTGGATATTGGTTTGACAATGACTAGACTGTGCGTAAAATGTCTGCTCATGGAGGAGCCCCTTGCTGCTTCTCCCTCTCCTTCTGCCTATTGACCCTGCACTGTTCTTGTTACCAACCGTTTCTTTTTCAATCTTCTGTGCTAAGATGGCTCGGGACTCTTCGTGGTCATGAGAGGAACCGGAGCCTCGTCGTTCATAGTCTGCAAACACGGGAAGAGAACAATATTGAGGTTGAAAACAGGCTGCATTAAGTGCAGGGACCCATGGGATGGTAACGCCCAGCTTGGTTGTTTGTTCTGGGTTATGAGAGCACCTCAGGAGATCACAAAGAGCAGGAGGTGATCAAAGTTGTCAATTAAATCTTCCAAGATCACAGCACCTGCCTGCCAAGCCTCTGTGTGCTGCCTGTGTTCAAGTGTAAGCAGTGAATGACTCAGAGCAGCCAGCTGTCAGCCACGGGCACAGACCTGCAAGCCCCGGTCTCCAGCTCCTGTGAGTCACCAGCTCTCTTGCCTTTGATGCATCTGAGCTGACTTTGCCCGCAGAGGAGCTGAAGGGCCAGCGCTAATGCGCTCGCATTGCAGAGCACTCCCCATGTGTGTGAGGTGTGATTAGATTAACTCCCGCTCTCTCCTCTAACCTCCAGCTCTCTGCAGGAGCCTTCCTTGTCCCAGAGGTACCAGTTTGACTAAATGGTAGTTGAGAAAGAACAAATAAGACCTGTAAATGAATGTGACCATCACTTGCTAGAAAGCAGCATGGCAGGAATTCTGTGTGGCTGGTGTTCAGGCAGGCCTGCGCCCAAATTGTCGTTTTTGTGTAAACTTGTGTGCAGTCTCTCAAGTGTTTTTAATGGGTGTTTAAAAAAAAAAATCCTCCTATAATAAAAAACCACAGGCACCTCCCAGCTTCCAGAAGAGACGCTCAGTGAGGGGGTGATAGTTCGATGTGAACAATTGCTCAGGTGGCCTCTTTTGAAAAGAATAACGTCAGCTCGGTGAAATGGGGCTAGAAAGGGCCAGCACAGCAGGGGTCTGACAGCAGGATTGAGAAAGTGGGAGAACTGGGGAGGCAGTTTTGGCAAGGGACCGTGAAAATTGTACGTCATCTTTAAGCGTTAGGATGAAGTGATTAGTTTTGACAGGTTCTGTAGAAAAAGCAATAAGGTGTGTTTGAAAGGAGAAGCAACCTTGCCAAACAGGCATCATGCAAGGCTTTCTCCTGTCATCTGCCTTCGCGCCGGGCTCTGTGTTCTCAGACCCAGAAATCCTGCCTGGGTAAGTGCCCGGCTCTGCTGATGTAAGCAACGGACTTAAAGCTTTATGCTAAGCATGCCGGGAAGGGCAGAGTTCAGGGTGCCCATTTCATTAAAACTGCTGTGCAGCAGGATGTAGGTGTTTATACACGGCCCAGCTCTGAAATACAGATCTGATTTTCATTATGCAAAACTGGGCCTGAAACAGGCTCTCCTCCGTGCAAGAAGCCAGAGCAGCTGCTTGGCTTCGGATCCCATCCCTGGGAAACGAGTGTTTTCTCTCCTCAGCTGGTGTTTAGAGTTTCTTATACTATCCTGATGATGTGTTTTCCTTGAACCTAGAAATTAATGCCAATAGAAGGTGGTACAATAGGCAGTGACAAGAAAGGCTTACAGTTTGCTTGCCATTTTAGTCCGTTTGAGCTTTTGTCAGAGAAAGAGATTATTTCTATTACTTTCTCCAATACAAGTTTTTTCAAGCCAGCTCAACCAGGCTGAAGCCAGCATGGTTTTGGAATAACATTTTAGATAAGCACATTTAGATCTGCTTTTCCATACTCAACTCCAAGAGAATTCACGCAAACCGCTTGATTTCTGAGGGTGAAATTTCGGCTCCTGTGAAGTCAGCAGAGCCAGGAATTTGCCTTTCTGACCAGGTCTGTCTCGTCTGTATGTTATAGGATCAGCGGTGCCTGGTCCAAGCTTCATGTGATGGCTGCTTTATGAGGGGCTCTCACCTCTTTTGGGAATTTCGGTATCCCAAAATACAGGTGTTGTTACAAGGCCTTTTTATGAGCTTTGATTTGTTGAGATGTTGAGGGGCAGATGCCTGCTGCTAGCCCAGGGAGTACAAATGTTTGCTGTGGCCTAATTTTTAACCGTTTATAAAGCACAGCCAGAGATGCAGCAAAATGTTGTGCCTTTGGTATGTGTCTATGTTAGATTGTAACACGGTGAAGAAACACGGGGCTTCCCTGTGCCCCAGCAGTACTGACCCACTTCAGGGGGCGGCTGTCCAGGCTAACGAGTCCCCTGGCCCCAGGACGGGCTTGCTGAGTGCTGACAGTACCTGGATTGTGCTGGGAAGGGGGTGCCACCCGGTTCCTGTTCATTGCTGAGCCGCGCATGTCATGCTGGATCGGGATGGGAGCCGGCCCCTGCGGTGGTGGGAGGATGGATTGTCTCTGCTTGATCTTTTCTTGGTTTGCTCTGCAAGGGAAACAGTGCAGAACAACCCTGTCAGTGGCTGCCAACCCTGTTTCTGAGAGACTGGTGTGCGGATGCATCACTGTAAATGTGGCTCCCCCCAACCGTATCCTGCAGTACTTACTTGAGTGTCTGTGGCCGTATCTTCTTCCCATGCTTGTGGTCTGCCAGGGCACTTTCTATGTCCTCATGAACCATCTCCGCCTCAAAGATTAAAAAAAAAGGGATGTTTTAAAGGGCTTTGTTTTGGAAAGGATTGAGGGGCTGGCAGAGAGCTAGGATCATATTTTGTTCTCTGCTTCATACCAGTAAGGAGGGCTCTGCTCACCTCCACCTCGTCGCAGTGGAAGAAGTGGATGTCAGGTTTGTGCTGCTCTGAATCCTGACACACCAGGAGAAGGACGGAGGAGTAGCGCATCTGATTCAGCACCGTTTGGCAGTGCTGGACTGTCGGCAGTGGGAAGTCCTCCAGCTCCTCCTGGAAGAGAAAGAGGTCAAGCAATGGGGAACTATTGAACTGCTGGGAAATGGTCCTGTGTATGAACTCCTGGGGGTCTGTGAAGGGCTGACCCTCCCACTGTCTCCTTGGCTGACCTTGGGCTGATATTTAGTTTCTCATTGCTAAAATCAAAGCAGCACCGTCCCTCTCCCACTATCTGTCTGCTCCTTCCCCTCAGGTGAGGTGCCCTGTGTGCACGTACGTGTATCCCCTGTCAGAATGGGGCACTGTTCCCAGCCAGGTGATCTGCGTGTTATTTGAATGCAAGTAATCCATCCTTCCCTCTCTGCCTGTGCTTTATGCAGAGACCTGAATGTGTGTGTTCCTCCCACAGAAAGCAGTGTTGCTGTTGACCTGGAGCACAGCTTGAGGTATCTTTCACCTGGAGTATCTGTGCTCTGGAACCATGAATAAATCATTCCACATTGCCCTTTAAATTAGAGTCAGCCAGCTGCTGTACACCCAGGAGTGGATTTTGGTAGTGATTCGCCCTTGTTTGGGTTTGAATGCCACTAGCAGGCAGAAGGGGAAGGGCGCGCACGCTACACCCTTGCGTCCGCCTGTGGGTAGCTCCACAGAGCTCCGGGTACCTGCGACTCGCAGTCCAGCAGGCGGATGGACTTGTCGTTCACTTGCAGCAGCATCTCCTGCGTCCAGATCTTCTCTTTTGAGTTGAGCAAGATGAGTTTTCGAATAGCATCATCCACTGTCACGATGGACTCGCTCTTGTCCATGACGAATGTGGCCAAGTGCTGGAGTTGGGAGGAAAGGAGGAGAAAACAGGTGAAAAAGCTTTGATGGGGTGTGTACTGTAAATCAGTGATGTATCTGTCTCTAAAGGCTTGAATTATTGTTTGTCTCTTCAGAACACAGGCATGAAAAGAGGCTCTTTGTTGTGTCTAGTTCAGGATGAGTTTTGCCTGTCTTTTCTCCCTGAAATCCCTTGTCTTTGTGCCTTCTCCCAGTGATCAGACATAACCCTTTTAGGTTTCAAGCAGTTTCTTTCTGCTGCTGACTCTTGGCTACAGTGGTGCTGTATCAGGGGTCAGGGTTCAGCATGGCACACAAAGACAGTCTTTGTCCCTGAAGACTAGCAAGCAAGGGCTCCAAAACACAAGAAAAGGAAGGAAGTCCTTTTTAACCTGTAAAAGCCCAGGGAGATGCAAAGTGGGAAGCAGAGTAAGAGGCAGCAAGAGCTGACCCTGCTCCAGCACCAACGGAGGGAACCAGCACTGTCCTGCAGCAGAAACACGCTGGGACCTTGGAGAGGCTGTGAACACTGGGGTCTGGTACAGACCAGGCGGACCTGAGGAGGATCCGTGTACTCGGAGCACGGAGCCTGGGGGGGCTGTGTTGAAGCACAGGCAAGAACTGTTGCTGTGATCGGCTCCAGACAAGGTGGATGCAGGTGCAAGGCTGGGATTTGAAGCAGTGGTAGCCCTGACAGGCAGAAAGGGCTGAGTCTTTAAACGTGATGGTCAGTGATGGGAATTAGGGGTGGAGAGGGTTTGTGGTGACCAGTTTGTTGTTAAGGTGGTTGTTGGATAATTCATAAAGGCTGGAAAGAGCAGAGAAGAGGATAAACACTGCAGAATGTAAGAGCCAATCCTGCATTCATAAAGCAAAGGTATGGGGTAATAATGGGGTCTAGGCATAGTGGGGTGAGGCGCTGTCTAAGTACAACTCCTGGCACGTATCTGAGCTGGAAGCTGAGATTAGCCATGCAATCAGATACGAAAAACATGCTCAGGTATGTTACTGTAGCTGTAAAATAGTGCACAAAAAGGTATTCACAAAGTCAGTGTTATCTGTGCAGAGGTGACAAACCCTCTGCTTTCCGAGCAGTGAATTGGTTTATATCTGATGACGAGCATTCTTATCTGTTCTATTATATTAACTGCCAGGTTTACACTCTTCATAAATTCCTTTGTTGTTTACTGTTAAGTAAGTTAATTTTCAAGGAGGGGAAAGCTACTTGTCTCACTCGGACTCATTAGAATATTTTTTTTCTTTTCCACTTTCTCTAGATACTGGTGAAATGAGAGGGAGAGAATCTTGCTACTGTCTTTGATTTATCTCATTAAACCTCCCCCCCTTTCATCCACATGGATATGCAAATACAGCAGCTTTTGTAAGAATGGACAATGACTCTATCCGCTATTAAACTTTATCAGCTCATAGATTGCTTTGAAGGATGTAAAATGCCTCTTGTGAGGAAACCTCTGGCTACCTCACTGCCTGCCACTGAAATCATGTTTGCCTTGGTTAAAGTTCAAGGTAGAGACTCACAAATGGGTGGCATATGGCATAATTAATGAAGAATTCATGTATGTGTCACTGTTTAAAGTCCCTTCTCTGCTGCTTGGTAGGAGTCACCAATGGGGATGGCTGGCAGGGCTACCGATGATAGTAGCCAGGATGGAAACCAGAGCCTCTTTCCAAACAAGCTTTCTAAAAAGTCTAAATTTCATTTTAAGCAACTGAACAGACTTCTTTATTTCTAACTGTGTGCTTCAGCTCTCCAATGGACTGTGACCTTACACCAGAGAAGAGAGGGCCCTATCTGCTAAATATGAACCTTGTAAACTGTTTTCCCTTCTTGCCTTGCCCGGTTTTCAGTGATGAATGGTCCGGCTGGCCTCAGATGGGCACCTCTCTCCCACTGGCCTGCACTGGCGTGTTGTATTTTTCAGGCCTGGGATGGCCAGGCTGGCTCTTCTTTTTTCAGTGGACGTCTGTGACACTGGGAGATGGATTTGGCTTAATGCCTGTCGAGGCTGAAGGCTTTTGAATTACTTGAGAGGACACAGCAGCTGAGGGAGAGCTGAAAAATGATAGTCATTGTGGTCTTCCCAGCTGGGTGGGAAGCTCCGGAGGCAAGTATTTTACAGAAAATAAATATGAAGTTTCAAGCAGCTTTGCTGTTTGCCTCTCCCAGGGTGTGGATAGTGACACTTGCTGTTTGTAAGAAGGTTCCCAGCTCCTCTTTGGCCTAATGAAGGTCTGGGACAAACGAAACACCTTGCATTGCCAGCATCTATCACTGACGCTGGCCTTTCAGCCCCTTACTGTTCCAATGCACACTCACCTGTACGTGGTACTGTGAAGTCTCGTGCATAATGATATTGGAGTTGGAGTATTTTTTCCTTTGTTCTGCAAAAAAAGAGAAGAAAACAAGCCATCATTGTAGTGGCTGTTTATCATTATATCGGATTCTGAGAATTACAGCTGTCATGGGGTGTTACAGACTTTGAGCTTCCAGCTTCACTCAGAGCGTTGGCAATGATAAGACATCATAATGATATCAATTTTTTAAACAAGGATTGGCAAAGCAGGCATGTAGGGTACACATTCAAGTTGTTCCCTTAATGCTGCTGATAGTTTGATTCCTGGGGGTCAGCACCATTTGTGGAGGAAGTTAAACCTAGCATAAAGGGAAGCCCCAGCCACCGAAGGACCAGGGAGGCTCTCGGAAGAGGGCTGCGTAGGTGAGGAGTGGCTTGAGAAGGCTGGCAGAAGACTATGACATGCATGTGGCAAGAAGAAAAAATCCACTGCAACCCACCAGTTTGGACATAACAGCCCTTTGAATCGTCCTTCAGAAGAAGCCCTCTGCACTACTGTGACACTTTCAGTTTCCTTTCTTGTGTTTCCTGGCAAAGCGCAGTGAAGGACGGTAGTTACAGATAGGAAGGGCTGCAGGGACCAAGGCCAGCCTGTCAGAACCTGCGGTTCTTAGACATATTTTTATGAGGCAACGAATCTTTATCACTTCTTTGTGGAAAGTGGCAGTAAAGAGCAATTGGCAAAAAATTGCTTGGAATTTCATGAAGTTATTGAATATAATCCTATAAGAATGTACCCTGCCAGCTGTTTAATTGGTACTTTTCCAGGGATTCCTTATAAATACGTTGCTTGAACAGCAGAGGAGTAACTATCCAGGCCCAGAGTGATCTGGGAGCATCCAACGTGAAAACATCATCCTCGCCAGCAGAGGACATCCTCTGATCTCTGGTTGCTTAGAAAATGCAGCGGCAGTTTTCTGTTTTCACCCTTCTTAAAGCCTGTGTTAGAATAGCCTGTCCTCTGTGGCAACAGTCACAACCAGCGGGATTTCATAACACAGCAAATGTTAGGGCTCTTCGTGTTTTAAAGAAGGATATATTAATCTTAGTTTATTTGTGGTTTACTTCAAAGCTCTCTTTAATGCCTCCTCAGAGATGTTGGCTTCTCTCTTGCTTTCCCCTTCTCTTTGAACACAGAACATGTGGTCTCATTTAACAAATTTCATGTTAAAGAGCCTGGCACCTAGAAAATTAATATCCTCATAGGACCTCGTTCAGTCAGTTTCCAAATTTATTTAAAATTTTTAAAAAGGTTCTTTTGGTGAAGTGCTGCAAGACCTAGGTAAAACTTTGCAAAATTTTCCCTTAGTTTATATTTTTAGTAGCCCGTCACATTTTAATTGACAAACACTCCCTAAAGATTTACAAGAAACTCCTAAAAGTTGAAGGTCTCCTTGTAATCAAAAGACTGACTTTTTTTTTTTTTTTTTTAGTAAAAAAGATGGGAACTGAAGGTTGGTCTAAAGTGCGGAGAGTAAAATGAATGTAAAGCAGGGCAAGGGCAGGGCAGTAACTGGCAGGGGCTGGAGGTGGCAGGAGCTCTGGGAAGGAGCAGGGTCTGCCGCAGCAGTGACCATCCTGTGATGTCCCCTGGATGGGCTGCAGGTGAGCGGGGCTCTGGCTGGTCTCTCCTTTAGGTGAGAATTTGAGAAGGAGGATATCAGCCTAACGAAGGAGCTGGTGATGTAGCTCCTCCCTAGGGACACCATGGCTTGTTTAACTTTTCCTTTTGCTGTCCTCTGAAACTGCAAGTGGTTTACATCCTTTTCGGTTGT